GGCCCCCCTGGGGGCCCCCCCAGGGGGCCCCCCATGGGGGCCCCCAGGGGGGCCCCCAATGGGGCCCCCAGGGAGGGTTGAGGGAAGCGCTGAACGGCGCAGAACTCAAAGAGTCTACCCTAAGGAGGAGAGATAAAGAAAAAAGGAGACAGAGAAACCCTAAACCCTAAACCCTATGGTAATGCTTGCAGCTGAGTTGGTTAGCAAGGAGACAGGTGACAGAAAGGAGACAGGAGGAGACAGAAGGGGACAGAAGGATACAGAAGGAGACAGTGGAGAGACAGAAAGGAGACAGAAAAGGAGACAAAAGGAAACAGAAAAGGAGACAAAAGAAGACAGAAAAGGAGACAGGGGACAGAAGGAGACAAAAGGAGACAAAAGGAGACAGAAAAGGAGACAGAAGGAGACCCACCGAAGGACTCAAACAGCGATACCACTTCCCCCCTGTAATATCTGGCTGCAGCAACAGCAACAGCAGCAGCAACAGCAGCAGCAGCAGCAATAGCAGCAGCAGCAGCAGCAGCAGCATCAATGGCAACAGGAGACAGGAGGAGACGGAAAAGAAGACAGGAGACAGGAGAGGAGACAGAAAAGAAGACAGAAAAGAGGAGACAGAAAATGAGACAGAAAAGGAGACAGGAGACAGAAGAGGAGACACTAGAGGAGACAGGAGGAGAAAGAAAAGGAGACAGAAAAGGAGACAGAAAAGGAGACAGAAGAGAGGAGACAGAAAGTGAGAGAGAAGGAGACAGAAAAGGAGACAGAAGGAGACAGAAACGGAGACAGAAAAGGAGACAGAAAAGGAGACAGAAAAGGAGACAAAGGGAGACAGAAAAGGAGACAGAAAAAGAGACAAAAGGAGACAGGAGACAGGAGAAGAGACAGAAGGAGACAGAAAAGGAGACAGGAGACAGAAAAGGAGACAAAAGGAGACAGAAAAGGAGACAAAAGAAGAAGTACCTCCATATAAAATAATTTTTGTTTGGGTAGATACAAACAGCGACATAACAACACATGCTCCCCCGTAAACCTGAACATACACTCCTAAACCCTAAACCCTAAACCCTAAACCCTAAACCCTAGAAAGAGAGAGAAAGGAAGACAAGGAGAGACAGACGAGGAGACAGGAGGAGACAGAGAAAGCAAAGCTAAAAAAAAAAAAAACAAAAAAACAAAGGAGACAAACATAGGTACAGGGAGACAAAAGGAGAGACAAGGAGACAGAAAGAGAAACGAAGAAAGAAAAAGGAGACAAAAAGGAGACAAAAGGGGACAGAAAAGGAGACAGAAAAGGAGACAGAAAGGGAGACACAAAGAGAAGACAAAAGGAGACGGGAGAAGGAGACAGAAGAAGAAAGAAAGGGGTGACAGAAGAAGGAGACAGTAAACACAATATATATATATATATATATATATATATACACATATATACATAT